CCATGGAATCACAGACTGGTTTGGGTTGGGACACCTTCCACTATCCCATGTTGCTCCAAGCTCTCTCCAACCTGGCCTTGGACATTTTGGGCAACCTGTTATGTCTTCAGCTGGTTTGATTCTGTGTCTTAGTTCTGCCACATGTTTGCCCCTTTTCTGTGCAGGTTCCTTGGGAATCAACCACTGGCTGCTGGGATGCTGGGTTTGATGATTTATTTGTATCAATTTCAGTTCTTGAGCTGCTCTTAGTGATGTGTTGATTTTAGGCTCATCATCCCTAGGTCACTGTGCCTCCTTCATGCAGTTGACTTTTCGTAGCCAATATTGCAAAGTTTCATGGTAATAGTTTCCTGGAATTTAGTTTAAAGAAAGGATKTGGGTTTTTTAACATCAAATCATGGACCCCTTAAACAGTCTGGTTTTTAAGCTTTTCTAGCCTAATCTAGGGGGATCAAGGAAGGCAGGCCCCAAATCCCGGGTGTCTTTGTAGCAGGGTCTAAATGAGGGGTTCAGAGAGCTGCTCAGTTGGTAATGTGGGGTTTGACTGGGAAAAGAATTCATAGATCTATTTCTTTGTGAGCATAAATCAGTGATGAAACAACTCCCATCCACAACCCTTTAGAAGGGAGCTTTTAGCTGTTAGAAGAAGGAAGAGCAAGGATTATTCTTGCCCTGGTCTCTGCCACTCAGCCACAGATGACTCAGACTCAGGGGCTAAAAGTTCATCCCTTTTCACAAAGACCAGAATTTACAAACAAACTTCCTCTGGTTGAGAACAGGGTTGCTGTTTTCTCTTTGCTTAGTGCCCAATTTCATCTTACTAGAATGTTTGGCTGTAATGCAAGGTTTGAATCTCTTGAGGGAAAAATCCCAGTTGTAGCTGTGCTGCCAGTGTGTCACCCTCTGGGCTGTGTCACCCTCAGGGAGTTTCTGTTGGAGAGCTGTTGGAAAACCTACCCAAGTAGTAGCACTGTGCAGGACACTTGGACTATTTCATTTATGGTATAATTACTTAGTGTTGCTTCAGCAGCATMATTGTTAATTGGGGGCAAAGAATATCATTTTCACATGCAAAAACTGCCTTTGCTGCTCTGCTGTGTCTGGTAGGATGCAGTCACACAATCCTGGAATATCCTGAATGGGAAGGGATCCACAGGAATCGAGTCCAGCTCCTGTCCCTGAACAGACACGCCAACAATCCCACCCTGTGCATCCTGTGTAACACACCTGGACAGGATGGGTGTAATCTGCTGCTTCAGAAATTCCCTGCTTCTGCCTTGTTCCCATGAGTGAGYTTGTTCCCACATCTGGAGTTCTTCAGGAGGCCTGGGGGTCTGTGGTGCCCACCCCTTTGAGGACCCTGGGCTCCCCAAGCTGCCAGTCAGTGGTGACAGTCACCTTTTCACAGCCCCAGTGATAGTGCTGTGCCCAGCAGGTGAGATTGGGAGATACTGAAARGAGAAAAACTTATTTAAAATCCACATGTGTGAACAGGCAGCACTGCAAGGAGCATAGAGACCTTGGATTTGTTTGGGGATTCAACTGCTTGCTCTTTGTSCAGCATTTTCAATGATGGATTTATGGCTAATTAGCCCTAGGATTAGTGTATAACTGATTTAATTGCTGTATTTCTCCTGCTACAGGAACAAGAAATACTCTCAAAAATACCTTCTGCATTCTTGGGCAAGTCTGTTAAAATGGGAGTAATTACTGATCAAGTGGCATCGGTGGTCTTTCTAATATCCTAGCATTGCCTCTCTTCTAGCAGTTAATTATTTTCATAATGAGCCATGAATACCCCATATTTTAGAGGAACAAATGAAAAGACAATGACCTGACAGAGGGATAAAATCTTCCCCTTCCAAACCTGGAGAGGGCACAGAGGTAAGTTTGGATTTGCAGACATCAAACAAGCTCTAGGYTGATAATGGAACTTTGAAACAAACTGCCTCTGAGATAAGGAAGGCTTTGCATTCCATTGCTGCCTGCCTCTTCCAAGTGTTTGTCCTCACTGGTACCCTCAATTCCATCGTGGAGCGTGTGAGTGGAGATGGGACAGGGTGTTGTTACTGCAGCCAGTTCAGCTCTGTGAGCCTGCAACAATCCTTGTTGGTCTCTTCTGGAAGAGCCTCTGTAGGGGCTCCTCGGCTGGGAATTCCATGGCCAATCCTGCTCAGGAATAARCTCCTTGGCTCTGAGAGTGCAGAGTGGAAAGCTTCAAACCAGAGATACCTGCAGGGTGAAATCAGGTGGTTTTCTGTCAGGATATCCTGACAGAAGTGATTTTGGTGATTTTTTGGATTATCTACCCATCCTGGAGCAAGAGAGTCTCTGGCAGTTGAATCCACTTTGAGCTGGTGGCAATACCTGCAAATGCCTCACCTTGGCAGTGTTCCCAGAGGAACACTGGAATCTTTTCCTTTGGGCTCAAGAGTTCATTTCTACCCAAACATTTCACACAGTCCTAGGAGRGAGTAAATGTTTCCCTTCCACAAACTGGTGCCAGCTGCAGTGAAAACTGATTTTTCTACCTCCTGATACCCTGAGCTGGAGGCCCAAAGGACATTTATGGGATCCCATTCCCCATCCACACCCACAGCTCTATCTGCACCCAGCTTTTCCAGTTCATTCTTAAAAATAGCACTAAAGGTTTCACTGTGCCTCAGTTTCCCTTTTACAYTCCAAAGTTCCATGTCAGTACAAGTTTTTGGTTAGAACAGTATGAGGTGAGCTAGGTTGTGRTATTTGGGCTGTTTTTATTAAAACAAAATTATGGCAAATAATGTGTGTTTGATCAATAGTGGGAATTTGAAGTTTTCCATATCTTTTATGCAAGCTTGCAGAAAATAACAGCAATAGCAGAGTGTGACAATTCCTACTTGTGAGCCCAGAGGAGACAATATAAACTACCAAACCCCAAACTAATCCCTGGGGAGCTGGAATGCCTTCAGGGCAAAGCTCAGCATTGATCAAATTAAAACAACACCTCCACCCTCGTAGATTTTAAACCTTTCTGAACAAAACAAATGTAACCCAGCACCTACAGGCACACCTGGCTCTTGGAAGTCCTTTCCAGTATCTTCCCAGAGTCTGGACAATTTGCACCCCGTTGTGGGGGTGTGGGCTTCCCTCTCATCTGTGAAGTGTCTCACATCCTCCCTCATGCTCCTGCTGCTTTCCAAACGAGGSAGTTTAAAACAAGTGAGCCCTGATTTAAAAAAGAAAAGGTAGTAAGTAATAACCAACCATGAGATGTTTAGTGATGGCAAGTGCTGGATCCTGGGACAGGGCAGCCCTGGATGCAGAGACAGAGTGGGAAGAGGCTGGAGAGCAGCGCTGCAGGAAGGGATCTSGGAGTCCTGGTCCGTGGCAAATTGGATCAGAGTCACCAGTGTGTCCTGGCAGCCCAAAGGGTCACTGTGTCCTGGGGGTTACCAGGCCAGGGAGGGATTGTCCTGCTCTGCTCTGCACTGGGGCAGCCTCACCTCGGGTGTTGGGGGCACTTTGGGCACCACGAGATCAGGAGGATCAAAAGCTGTTGGAGAGTGGCCAAAGGAGGAACACGGAGCTGGGGAAGGGTCTGAGGAGCGGCTCAGGGCTCTTGGCTTGTTCAGCTGGAGCAGAGGAGACTGAGGGGAGACTCCTCGGGG